CTCATGTTATCATTAAGAGGCAGTGTGGCATAGATGTGGCTTCAAACTTTGGCTCTGTCATTTACTAGCTGTCATTATGGCCTTCTGTGCCCTCATTTCTTCATCTTTATTTATTTATTTATTTTTGAGACAGAGTCTCCCTTTGTTGCCCAGGCTACAGTGAGTGCCGTGGCGTCAGCCTAGCTCACAGCAACCTCAAACTCCTGGGCTCAAGTGATCCTGCTGCCTCAGCCTCCCAAGTAGCTGGGACTACAGGCATGCGCCACCATGCCCAGCTAATTTTTTCGATATATATTAGTTGGCCAATTAATTTCTTTCTATTTATAGTAGAGACAGGGTCTCACTCTTGCTCAGGCTGGTTTTGAACTCCTGACCTCGAGCAATCCGCCCACCTCAGCCTCCCAGAGTGCTAGGATTACAGGTGTGAGCCACCACGCCTGGCCGGCCGATTTCTTCATCTTTAAAACAAGGAAGCTAGACTGATGGTCTGGAAGGCTCTTCCATCCTTAAACACTTTGTAACCTAGGCTGGACATGATAACTCATGCCTGTAATCCCAGCACTTTGGGAGGCTGAGGCAGGATTGTTTCAGGGCAGGATTTCAAGACCAGCCTGGGTAACATAGTGAGATCCTATCTCCACAAAAAATGTTTTAAATTAGCAGGGCATGGTGGCATGGGCCTGTCGTCCTAGCTACTGGAGAGGCTGAAGCCAGAGGATCCCAAGAGTTGGAGGTTACAGTGAGCTATGGTAACACCACTACACTCAGCCTGGGCAACAGAGTGAGACCCTATTTTAGGAGGAAAAAAAAATCTTTGTAACCTTAGAAAGTAAGCATCCAACATGAAATACCCATCCTCTTGTAAGGATATGTGGGTTTTTATCCATTTGTGATTCCTGGTGCTGTTTTTATGTGACTGGCATTGTCAGTGAGCAAAGTGAGTACTTTACTGCTTTCATATTTTATAACTGATATAGTCTGCCATGTAACTGATTCCTCCTTTTTCTGTGCTTTTCCTTGTCTGTATAAAGGAGGTGGCTGTGCCGCCTTACAGTTTTAGAGTCCGTCTGCACTTCTGTTTGTCCATCCATGCGTAGTGCCGCAAAGCCCAGTGCTCTGTTGAGTCTTCCTCGCACAGATTCTATTAGCCATACATATTCTTTTACTAAAAGAGGCTTGCTCACAGAATGCTGCTGGGCAAATGGTATGACAGTCTTAGTAATTTGAAAACTTCCTGCAGTATGTGTTTTCCATTATTGACAACAGTGTTCCAGAAGAATATATGTCTCTGGCAAGAGTTTTTTTTTTTTTTTTTCTGTTCCTCAAGTGTCACCTGTGTACTAATGAAGCCATTGAGAGTGCTTTGTATGCAGTGGCTAGCACCTTTGTTGGCTCAGGGGTCCTGAACCGGCACTTCTTCATGGTGATACTAAGGTCACAGCACCTGCAGCGGCAGGAGCACAGTGACATGCAGAACACCAGGAAGTGTGCCTGCTTTTTCTGCATCACGGGCCTCTTCTTTCACATTTTAAAAAATTTCTGAGGCCAGGCACAGTGGCTCATGCCTGTAATCCTAGCATTCTGGGAAGCCGAGGCAGGCGGATTGCTCAAAGTCAGGAGTTTGAAACCAACCTGAGCAAGAGCAAGAGCAAGACCCCGTATCTACTATAAATAGAAAGAAATTAATTGGCCAACTAATATATATATATAGAAAAAATTAGCCAGGCATGGTGGCGCATGCCTGTAGTCCCAGCTACTCGGGAGGCTGAGGCAGCAGGATTGCTTGAGCCCAGGAGTTTGAGGTTGCTGTGAGCTAGGCTGATGCCACGGCACTCACTCTAGCCTGGGCAACAAAGTGAGACTGTCTCAAAAAAAAAAAAAAAAAAATTCTGCATGGCACTTCCCAGCTTCCATTTGTTAAACAGAATTTGGAAATGTGCCTTTCAACCAACAGTTCAGTGGGTGGATTTCAGCATGCAAAAGTTTCTCCGTGCTGGAAATGGCCTTACCATTTTGCAAGAGATAAAGCCAGCAGAAATAAACTTTGCAATAGCACTGCCCCCAGGTTAGCTGGAAACACTTTCTAGGCATCCAGCCTTTCTTCCTTTCTCTTAAAGCTAGGGAGATTTTGTGACAAAATCTTAGATGACAAGGAATTCATGTGTGACAGGCTGTGGAAATCATGCAGCTGAAAACCAAAATTCAGATGCATTTCAATTCCTGTTTATTAAGGAAGAGGCACTTTCCTTTTCCTGGCTGCTTTGTTGACTTTAAGATTACAGAGCAGGATAAATTGCGTTTCTATATCTGTCTAACTTCAAAACCTCTCCATCTTCCCTAACTCTCTTCTGTTTCAGGCCTTTTTTTGACCAATAAGTGTCATATCGTTAATCTCTCTAGAAATTGATAGATATTGCTGTCATTGTCCACTTTAGGTCCACTCCACTGAGATGGTCAGAAAGGGAGTGTACCTTTTATTGACAATAGAAGCCAATAAAAGAAAACTCACAACAAAGCAAACACAAATTCTTTCTTCTATCTCTCTAGGAGTCAGAAATGATCTCTTGCTTGGCAGTTCTACTCTGTTCTTGAGTTTTAGGAAATGTAAGATATTAGCTACACTAGATAGGTATAAAGGAAAATCATTCTATTGCATGATAAAGCTGTCACAATATATGAGTCCCTCACTGTAAATCTCTCATCCTATAAAAATTCATAATATATTATTTAAACTTTTTTTTAAGAAGAAGCAGATTCAAACATTTACATTTTGTCTCAGTCCTTACCTCTTTAAAGGAGTCCAACATATATGAAAAAAATTATAACCCATTAGGAATTGGCTGAGAGTACAATAGAATGATAAAAGACTAATCAGGTATTTATTGTGCATCCCCCATGTTCTCAGCTATGCAGGATAAAGCAAAAGACAGGGCCCTGCCTCAGGTTGATATGATGTATTTGAAGAACCAACCACACTATGAAACAAGGCTGATGCATTATGAAATATAATGGCATGGTAAACCACAGAACACAGATGCTACAGAAGTTTGCAAGGGAGAAACTTCCCTGATGGGTAGAATGATCAGGTTTTAAGGCTTTAGCAAGAATCAGAGGAAAAGGTCATGACAAAAAGCACAAGGGTTCATAACACAAAAGCCAGTGAAAACAGTCAAATTAAACCGGGGGGGGGCGGGGGGTGAGAATCAGAGCTGAGAAAGTTGAGTGGGGAGAGTACCTGGGAGGCTTTGAAAGCTGCAGCATTTTGATTCAAACTGTAGACTATAGGGAATTGATGATGGTTTTTACAAGGAAAGTAGTACGATCAAAACAATGTTTCATGAGGACTAGCCAAGTAGCCACATTGGGGACAGATAGGAGGGGGAAGAATGTGGAGGCAGGGAAAAGAAAAAAACTGCTATGGCAAACCAAGGGCAGGTGCTTAGAAGCTGATCTATGAAGGTAGTGGAGGAAGTAGACAGCAGGCAGATGTAAAGAGTAAAAACTGACAACACTTGGTGACGCACTTCATCTAGAGTGGGAGGAAGGAGGCTATGTCAAGGACTCCAAAGTTTTTGGTCTGAAGGTCTTCAAGAGTGCCGTTAGAACTGATTGGAGAGCAGATTAATCTGCTTTTTATCCTGGTTAGCTTTGAGATGACAGAGGGACAGCTAATGAAAATGTTTAGCAGGCTGCTGGACATGCAGAAACCCGAGCTGTAACTCTGTATTGCTGGGGAAGGATGACTCACTCAGATGTGTCACAGTAGGAGTCAGGAAACCCATACATCTCAGGAGTGTAGAAGGTGAAGTCATCTTCAAAGGGAGAGTGGCAAAGAGAGAGATGCTTTGGAATAGACATTGGGAGGTTGACGATTAGGGCCCAACTGATGAAAACAAAGTGAACCAGGCCAGGTATGCATGGTTCTGACTTCCTCCAGCCATGCCTTGCCTTCCCAGTGTTGGGCAGAGGTAGAGTGCTACTGGCTGGAGAGCAGGATGAGGGGCATCTGGAGGGGATAAAGAGGGCCCAGGAGAGGAAAAAGGGAGTATGAGAGAAAGGAGAGAGCAAATTATGGTTATTAGAGATCAGAGCATGCTAAATTGCAAAGAGAGGTGGTGACCCCTTCATAGCAATGCAGGGCCCAACCAAGGAAGGGAGGTCAGCTATGTTCCAGAAGGCATGTCTATGAACCAGGGACCTCCCTCACATTGACTCGTTTTGCCTCCACTCCAGGACACTGCTAAGGAAAGCCCTGCCTCCCACCCTCCAGGCTCTAGCTAACAGAGGCCTCCAGGGACACAAGTCCAGCAGCTGGTGGGGCAGCAGATTTTGCTCATTGGAACTTGATCTGATCCACTTACACTGTTGGCTCAAAGCTTCTGATTCACTTCAGGGATGGTGTTCTATCATTTAAATGCCATAAACACTAACAGCAAAATAGCCCACTGGCTGATCCCCTGCTCTCCACACCTGCCAGGCCCAGCACCTGCAGCTGCACTTGGAGAGGACAAGGAATACCCATCAGCCCCTATAGAGGTGGTGGTGGGGTGTCCTCTAAGCCTGAAGGAAAGATGAGGTGCTAGGGAGAGGAGAGGCAAACAAGATGATAGAGGTCCATTTGGCTACTGGAGAGACCACAGCTGAGTATCTTGCTGAGAAGGAGGAGTAAAATCAGGTCATCTCCCTCTCATCTCCATCTGGGTTTGGAATGCAAAGAGATACAGGCAAAGGCAGACACAAACACACACACACAGAGATGCAAAGAGCTACACAGCGCAGGGGTGTGTACACAGCTGATCACAGAGAGAGTTTAGCTAACAAGCTTAGACACATGCAAAGGCACGACTGGACCTGCCCATTCAGGTACAGAGCTGCACGCATACCCCCCCCCCACACACACACATCTGCAGAGCTTTCCTCTTTCCATGGAGTACCCTGGTGTGAGTAGAGGCAGGCCCCTCTCTTCCAGACCTCACCCCTTCCCCTTTGTGTTTTTCCAGGTCGTGACATGGCGAGCACCACTCTGCCTGGTTACCCCCCTCACGTGCCCCCCACTGGCCAGGGAAGCTACCCCACCTCCACCCTGGCAGGAATGGTGCCTGGTAGGTGACAATACTGCAGCTGCCTAATCTAGGTGGGGGTAACTAAATTGTGGGTGAGCTGCTGAGTGGTCTGTAGTCTGAGGCTGGGGGTGGGAGGAGACCCAACATCCTGGCCTGCAAACCACTGCTTTCTGTCCCTCTCTCTCCCTAGAGGCTGCAGTTGGTCCCTCATCCTCCCTCATGAGCAACCCAGGGAGAAAGCTAACAGAAATGCCCCCTTGTGTGCAACCCACTGTATGTCATGGCCCCTCCACAGCGCCCACCCACCCAGGCCTGTGCCCAAGGAGCACTCAGCCTCAGCTCCGCCCTTAGTGCCCCAGCCCACCCCAGCCAGCTGACACTGCTTGGAAGAGCCTGCCCTGGTTTCCATAGAAACTTGGAGCCAAGAACCATTTCCAGGGGCATGTCAGTCACTCAGACAAAGCCACCCTGGTCCACACCAAGCCACAGGGGAAGACCAATGTGAGAACCTACCCCAACCCAGAGAGAGGAGGCAGCTAGTCCCTAAGAGGAACAGAGGACAGGCTAGGCAGGAACTAGAGAGACTGTGGCTTCAGAGAGACAAGCCAGAACACCCTACATCTCAGAGGAACCCACGCCCTCACTGCTCCTCCCAGGCTCTGACCCACCCCTTTTCTGAGAGGAGCTGGGTTTGGGCTGTGTGGATCAGAGAGGCAGAGGCAGTCTGGTGACTGCAGCTGGAGGTCGTGCTGTCCCCTACCCTTCACCCCAGATGGGGGGGGGGACTTGAAGCCAAAGACAGCTGAAGTTCCTATTTGCATAATCACCAAAAAACTCTCGTCTTAAAGAGGGTTAAGACTCACTCAGCCTGCAACCCACTCCCTCCGGACACCCTCTGTGTGGCCTTTCCCTGAAGTTGGACTCTCATTGGTGGGGGAAAGGAGGAGGGAAAAGGATAGAGGAGGGTGATTGGCCCCATCCATCCAGGGACATTCAGGGACAACCCTGGGTAAGCAGAGCTGGGGGTAGGGGCGATGGCAAAAAAAAAAAAAATGATGTTTGCTGCAGGGCGTTATGGAATAGGGGCTGAAGGGAGTTGGAGGTGTGGGTGAAGGGATTGCTGCCCAGATTTAAAGGAGGGGAAGTAGAAGCCTGTGGGGGGGCAAGGAGATGTTGTGGGGGAAGGTCCCAGCAGTGAGCAGATGGAGGCTGGAGGAGGTCTTAGTGAGGTGGGGGTGAGGGAGGAGTGGGGAATGGGGAGGTGGGGGTGGGGAGTCTGCAGGGAGGTGGGGATGAGGGGAGCCGCAGAGAGCTCATGGTGGCAAGGGGGGAGTCGTTAAACAGAATCTAGTGCTGATGAGGAAATTACACTTGTTTCATTAGCGATGGGGAAGGAGATAGCTCAGTTCCTCTTGGTCACAGTTGAGCTCAGAAGCTCATTATCCTGCTGCACGCATGCTTTCCCTCCTCGTCAATAAACAGGCTTTCCAGTGGCTGCATCCCCCACCCCCACCCCAGCTCCCTCTCAGAGAGGGGCCCCTTCTCCTCTACTTAACCCGCGGTTAGGGATCACTGTAAACAGTCTGGGGTCATCACACAGGAGAAAGGGCGAGGGGGAAACCCGGAGGCCTGGCCTTTCTCCCGCGGAGGGAGGGAGGCAGCTTCCGACGGCTCCCAGCCCACGGGCCCTCCGCTCGAGGACCAGCGAGCAGTCCACCTGCCTCCCGCCGCCTCCATCCCCGCCGCGCGGCCCGAGTATCCAACCTCTTGAGGCGAAAGGCAGGAGGGGGTTGTTTCCCAGCAGAGCCCCCACCCCTTGTATTGGCACCGCGCCAAGATGCCACTCTTAGCACTTTCTGGGACAGTGTAACCAGGTATTTCTTCGCCAACCCAAGGCCCCTGCTTCCACCCCATGGGGCTGTGACTCCTAGAAGCGGGGTGTCCACTATAAAGGCTCTTGGTCCCCAACACAGCGGGGTGGGCACACCTGGACAAACCCTTCCTGGGTAGCCCCGAGCGAGCCCCGGGCGGGCACGAGCCTCCAAAGTGTTAGGCGCATCGGTGCTTCCCACCTCCGCCCCCACCCCCGCTCTCCCCACGCAGACCGCGGGCTTGCCCCGCCTCCGCGCGGCCCGCGCGCCCGCCACGGCCATTACCCTGCCTGCGACACCTGCGCCTCAGACCCGGAGCTGCTTGAAGAATCGGCAGGCGGGGCTCGTCGGGTTCGCCCCGGTGTGCGCGTGTCTGATCCCCACTCCCCACCCTCCCGCAGGGAGCGAGTTCTCCGGCAACCCATACAGCCACCCCCAGTACACGGCCTACAACGAGGCTTGGAGATTCAGCAACCCCGCCTTACTAAGTGAGTACGCCACCTGGCTGGCCGGCGGCTCAGCGCGTCCGCCCTCCCGCCCTCCGGCTCCGCCGAGCCGCTTCCGGACACGGGTCCCACTCCAGCGACCTGACCTCTGGGTGCCCGGCCGGGCCAGGGGGGCAAGCTCGTTAGTCCAGCACTGAGGCCCAGGGACCTCTCCAGGATGCCCCCGCCTCCCTCCCCTCCCTTCCTCTCCTCTCCCTTCCTTTCCCTCCCGGGTCGCTAGAGGCTTTGCGCCACCTTCACTCTCAGACCCCCTGAAGGGCGCGCAGCCGGGCGTCCCCATCGGGTCCTTCTCCCGCCACATGAACGCGGCTCTTCTCGGGGCGACTGGCCCAGCCAAGGTCTCCCAGCCCGGATCAAGCCGGACCCCAGCCCCGGGAGGTCTTTGCTTTGCTTTTCTTTCCTTTTTTGTTCTCCTGTTTGTCCTCTCACCCAGCCCATTCTTCTCCTGTGTTAACTTCCAGGTTCCCCTTATTATTATAGTGCCGCCCCCCGGGGCTCCGCCCCTGCCGCTGCTGCCGCTGCCTATGACCGCCACTAGTTACCGCGGGGACCACATCAAGCTTCAGGCCGACAGCTTCGGCCTCCACATCGTCCCCGTCTGACCGCCCACCCCGGAGGGAGGACCGACGCGACGCGATGCCTCCCGGCCACCACCCCAACCCCATCCCCGTCCCAGGACCCGCGCAACCCTTCACCTCACCCCGTCGAAGGCCCGACAGAACGGGCGGAGCCGCGGGCGGGACCCTCAGGCCCGGGCCCGCCGCCCCCAACCTCGCCCGCCAACCCTCCCCGCCTGCCGGGACTGCGCGGCGCCGCCAGGAGGGCCGGGCCCAGCTCGCCCCGGCCTCCCTGGCGCTGGCCCCGGCCTCCCTGGCGCTGGCCCCGGCGCCGCCAGCCACCCCGCGGACTCGGGCCGGCCTCAGGCGCCCGCGCCGAATACGTTTCTGTGACACACAATCAGCGCGGACTGCAGCGCGGCCCAGCCCCGGAGCAGCCCGTCTTGGACGCTCGCTCGGGCGCCGGGAGGCTTCGCTGGAAGGGCTGGGCAAAGGAAATTAAGAACAAAACGACTTTCTGCAGAAGAAGGAAGAGCCCCTTGTCGAACCCTTGGGAAAAAATGCCCTACCCCGTGCGCCAGCCATTCTGCCCCACCCCCCGCCTTCTGGGTGTGCCCTGCCTCGGAAGGTGGAATGGAGGCGTGGGGGTCGGGCTCTAGGAACGGGCTTTGAGGGCGTCAGGTCTTTCCAAGGTTGGGATCCAAGGAGAGCAGGCCCCAGCAGCCCGCACCGGCCGAGCCGACTCCTGGCTCTTCCCTGCTCCACCAGGACTGCCTCGTTCCCCAGGGCCCAGGCACCGCCTGGCACGTGACCTGACTCTAAGTCCTGCCTCGCCCATACCTCAGCGTCTCCTCCACCTGCTGGCCTCCCAGATTGCCCTCCTGCCCGTCCTTTGCCCATCCCGCAACGCCCTGCATTCCTCCCCCTAACTCGCCGCCCCCTCGGACGCTCTCCCGGGCCGCCGCAGGACCAGTTTCCGTAGGCCGCGGTCTTACCCCAGCAGATACTTGATGCCCCCGCCCCCGCCCCCGACACAGACTCTCGATCTGCCAGTGGTGGGAGCCGCTTCTGAGCTGGCATCCGAGCTGCCGCAGGGTGGAAGTGAGAGGCTGCCCACTCCCCCACCTCCAGCCTCCTCCTCCGGCAGGAACTGAACGACGGAACCGCAAAAAGTCTACATTTATTTAATATGATGGTCTTTGCAAAAAGGAACCAAACAACACGAAATCCCCACAGGCTGCTGCTTCGTAGAAAGACGGTGTGTGTCGCGTGAAGGCGAACTCCTGTGTATATAACCCCTCCCCCCGCCGGTCCCGCCCCGCCCTGTAGAGCCCCGGCCGCCCGCGCCCCGCCTGTAGATGCGCCCGCTGTCTGCGCTGTGAGAGTCGCCGCTCGCTGGGGGGAGGGGGGACAGCTACACTCCCACTAAAGCACAGCACGTCCCGGGGGAGGGGGGCATTTTTTATGTTACAAAAAATTACGAAAGAAAAGAAATCTCTATGCAAAGTGACGAACATGGTCCTGTGGACTCCTCTCGCCTGTTTTGTTGGCTACTTCTCTGTACTCCCGTGTTTTCGCTCCTTCCTCGCGGCTTCTCTCCCCTCTTCATTTCTCTCCTGTCTGCTGCTCTCGCCCTCTGTCTCTGTCTCTCTCCTCTGTCTCTCTAGTCTGTCTCCGCTCCTCCCCCTGCCTCTCTGCCCAGCCCTGCCCGGCCGCGCAGTCCTCGCAGGCTAGATCGGAGGTGGCGCTCCGGCCCCGGCTCGCCCCCTCGCGGCCACCCGCCCCGCCCCGTAGTTGCTCTCTCGGTAGCGGCGATGCGCCCTGCATGTCTCCTCACCCGTGGATCGTGACGACTCGAAATAACAGAAACAAAGTCAATAAAAGTGGAAATAAATAAATAAAAATCCTTGAACAAATCCGAAAAGGCTTGGAGTCCTCGCCCAGATCTCTCTCCCCTTCGAGCCTTTTTATTTGAAAAGGAAAACGAGAACTGGGGAACTGCCGGCTCCCAGCCAGGCTCCAGTGGCCAGGGCGCCGAGGGCCGAACTCCGAGGTCCGGCCCATCCTAGTCCCGTAGGGCCGCCGGGCAGAGGCGCGGACCCCGGCCCAGGCCTAACCTTTGAAAGGTCCCCGACGGTTCTGGTCTCCTCGGCCGCTTTCAGCGCGTCGGTTCGTTTTGATTCTTTTTCTTTTATTTCTTTTTTTTTGTGCACATAATAAATAATAATAATAATAAATAATAATAATAAATAATAAAATTTTGTATGTCACTCCCCATGGCTCCAGGTTTGTCTCTCCCTGTCTCTGGGGCGGGCCTCCCTTCACACTGGTCATCCCCAGTAACCCCCTCAATGATCCTCCCAACTACACTCCCACTGCGACCCCCTCCAACTCTTTCGCAGACATCCCGGCAAAGGCTGGGACCAGCCTGCCCAGCAGTAGCCACTTTCCATCACACACCCCCGTCCTTGGGGCGAGTTCTCACAAAACTTCAGAGTAACTCAGAGTAACACATCTACGTCAGGCCGACTCTGCTGTCCTGCCACTCCGCCTGCCAGATTTGGGCGCAGCAGGCTGTCAGACCTGGACGTCGGAGCCCCTCTCCACTTGCGGGAGGGGAGGTGCTGGCTGTCCTATCTCCTCCCTCGGCTCATGATCCCGTGCAGTTGCGCTTCCTCGGCGCAGCCGCAATTTTATCCCCAGAGTCTGCAATGAGACCGCGGAGACCACAGACGCTTGCCGCAAATTTCCTCGCTCTGCATTTACTTCTGGGCCCAGCCCCGCGGAAACCCAGGGAGCCCCATGCGTCAAGTCCGGCCCTTGGCTAGCAGCTGCTGAGACTGGTGTGCCTTGTACCGTGGTCTGGGTGGGCGCAGAGAGGGTGCCCAATCGCCTGCGCTGGGGGGCTGGTCGGTGGTTGGTTTTCTGCATGTGAAAGGATTTCTGTTCGTCTGCATGGGTCTGTGTGTCTGTGGGAGTGTTTGGGGGTGAGATAGTAGAACCGTTTGTCTTTTTAGACATCCTTGTTCTTGTACCCAGGTGTCCAGTGTAGGATCTATGTGTCTGTCCCTGTGTCTCTGTTCCTAATTTGAGGGAGAGATGTGGGGACCCTCCAGGATTGTCCTGCTGCATCACAGATACTTGGGAGGTCCCCTGGTCATCCCTTCAGCAACCTCCCAGTTCTGGCCCTCACACGTTCTGGCCAACACAAAGGCCCCAGTGTCCACCTGGTCTCTCCCTGGGAGACTTTCCTTCACTCTGGAGAAACTTTCCCATCTCAGCTTCCATCTCAGCCTTCTCCCACTTGAAAGGCTCTTGAAACTCTGAGCTGCCAGGAGTAGCTGGGGTGGTGGTGTACAGCAGGGCTTTGGGGCAGACTAAGAAATGACCTTCTCCCTTAGCTGGGACAGTGTCTCCCAGACGCCTCCTTCCTACCAGGATCCCAGAGACCTTTCTTTGCCCAAGCCAATTTGCCCATATCATGGCACCTGCAAAACCCCCAACAAATCAGCAACCCTCCCTCAAATCCATTTCCTTCCCTCTCCTTTCCCTCCTGTGTCTCCTCTTTATTCCACAACTCAACAAATGGTAGTCCCTTGTCGGGTGCCACCCGGTCTGACCACCAGTCTCCTGGAAGAGTGGTCTTCGAACTTCTTTGGTCATGCACCCTATTGGTCAAAGGAATTCTGAACATGTACTCCCAACGTATTTACTTATTTATAAATTCCACAAATATACTAATGGACTGACATAAATCTTATAAAACATATATTAGAAAAAGGATGAGATTGGAATACATAGCAATAGAATTTCTAATGTTTTCTTCTCACACCCAAATTGATTATCTTACATCCCCTGGAAGGTATGCACCCTACTTTGGAAATCCTGCTTAGAACCCATGAAAACCCAGAACTCCTAACTCTTGCCTGATGCCCAGCCTGTGAGTTTCTGGAAGTTGCCAGAGCAGCGGGTTCACTGCCCTCATCGTATATAGGAGGTACCCGGCCCCCAGTGCCTAGCTTTGCCTCCAGGTACCCCCAGACAAGGAGCTCTGTTTTGCCCAATCCATCAAATTGGGAGCCAGGGCCTCTAACATGGGTCCCACCAAGACCTCTTATCTTCTGTTTCTCATCTCCCTCATACTGAGCTGGACGGCAAGGACCCCACTGTTACCATTTCTGCCCAGAAGCTTTCATGCTCTGTCCCTCCTGGGGTGCTGATTTCAGCTTGGAATCAGCCCCGAAGATTCCAAAACATCCTCTCTAGTCCTTGGTCAGCTGCCTGTTCTCACTGCAGTCCCATCTACCCACCCCAAGCACAAGAGGGCCTGTACTCCAGCTTGTTTTCCCCAAAACTCATTTGACTCTGCTAGTAATGTCCCCACCCACCCCTACAGAATTCCCAGCTGAGGTACACCAAGTATGACAGTTAGAAACAGATGAGAAAATATGTCCCTGGTTGAGGGAACAGCAGGAGCAAAGACATGAAGGCATGGAAAAATACCAGATAAAATGTGGCTGGAGTATCAGGTACCTGGGGAGAGATGGGGAGCAGGGAGAAGTGGCAGGAGATTCAGCAACAATAGTTGATAACAAGGACACTACAGTGGGAATGTCAAAAATGGTACCTGTCACACACACACTCACACACACAGCTTCTTTAAGGAAGCCACCCAGCCACAGCCACTTTCGGCCCATGCAGACAGCATATTTGTACCAGTGACTTTGCTACTGGTACAGAATTGGACTTATGCACAAGTCCATGCTGAACCAATCAATCCTCCTCTCTCAGGAAACAAAACTAGGAAGTATAGAGAGAATGAGGCCACTAAGCATGAGCAGCAAAGCCCAATGGAGACCCTGAGGGAGTCCCTAGTCTTCCTCATCGCAGTAAAGGTAGCTCCATTCTAACAGTCACTCAAGCCCCAAACCTGGATCTTCCCTTCTGCCTTTTGTATCCCACATCAGATTCATCAGCCAAATCACACTGTTCTACCTTTAAAATAGATCCAGAATATGATCACTTCCGGCTACCCACACTGTACCATCCTGGCCCAAACCCCCATGATCCTTCACCTGAACCTGCAAAAAAAAAAAAAAAAAAAGTTCTGATTGGTCTTTCTGCTTTTATCTTTGCCTTCCTCTGCATCCAGAGTGATTCTCCAAAATGTACAGTAATCCATTTCCCTGCTCAGCTCAGAACCCTCCAGTGGTTCCTCATCTCTCAGAGTCAAAGTCAAAATTCTAAAACTGACCTATCAGGCTCTACATGTTCTGGCTGTTCACCCTACCCCCACCCCATGACCACCTTAAATCACCTCCCATTGCTTCCTGCAGCTCACTGTGCTCTCTGAGCCCACAGGCCTCTGGGACTGCTTCTTGCAGAAACATTTGCACCTCATGTGCCTTTTGTCTGTGGACTCCCCCCTGCCACCCCTGTGACTGGCTCCCTCACTTCCTTGAAGTCTCACTCCAATGTTACCTTATCAGAGAGGCCTTCCCTGACCACCTTAAATCAAATAGCACACCCTTCCCATCACTCTCTCTTCCTTTCCCTGCTTCTCCAAACTGTTTGCCACCACCTGGCAGATGACATGTTTTATTTGTGTCTGTCCCCTCCTCTCCCATTAGCATGTGAGCTCCATGAGGGCAGAGTCTTGTCTCCTCTCTTTACTGCTATTTCCCTAATGCCTGGGATGTGGTTGGTACACAGGACATGTTCAACAAATAAAGGAATGCAGTGATGAGGAAGAAGAAACCGCAAATAAGCAGGAGGCTTGAGGCAGGGTAGAGGGAGGGAGATGGTGGGAGCCCTCAACCACATACAAGGGGCCGGTGACCCTCAGAGAGGGTAGCTGAGTTGCTAATGAGGTGGCACATGCTTCTCCTCATTAGCCCAGAGGTTTGAGACTCACAAGTGCTGAACTCCTAGAATAATTCCCACAGGCCCTGGGCCCTGGGGTGACTCTCTGGTCCTTACAATGCAAAGCATCTACCCCAGTGTCCATGGGGGGCACCAAGGGTGCATCCCTCCTTGCATTGGAGAAGTTCCCCTCCCCTACCCTGTGTAGTTCTGTCAATGAGAGTGCCTCATCAGCTCCTGACCACAGATTTGGGCCTGTGACCCCCATTTGGCCAATGAGAACCCCATGTCCCTGGCTACTACACATAGACCTCAAGTTAGAAACAATGGGGGTTCTCTCTCATTGTTATTGTATGGGGCTGTTACTCAGTGCTGAAAGAGTCAGGGTCTCTTTTTTTGGACTGTGAGCTGAAATGATGAGGTCTTAGGACCCCCTAAGGACTCCCCTCCACTATGTGGAGAATGCCTGCCCTAGAATGAAGCCACGGGCAGAGTCAAGCAGAGACCAGTGGAGCGGAGTGGTAGAGAGAGAAAGAGCTCTGGTGCTGTCATGGGAGCCCCTGGAGCCAGCTCAGCCTGAAGCCTACATTTGGATTTCCAGGGCCATAAGCCAATACCTTCCCCTTTTTGTGGCTTAAGCAAATGTGTTGCAGTCTGTCATTTGTAACCCAAAATGTTCTGACAAACAGTGCCGTGTTTGGATCCTGTGGCTGGGGATCTTTTTTTTTCTCCAGGGAGTGAAAACTATGGAAAATTTTTGAGCAAGAGAGAAGGGCTTAATAATGCATTTTTGCAAGAGTGTTCTGTCCATAATGTGAGAAGTGGGGTACAAAGAGAGACAGTGGGTGCAGGGGGAACTGAATGAGATCACTACCACGGTGCAGGCAACCGACAATGAGGTTCTACGCTAATGATCAGGTTAGCTCCAGAAGGAAGCTGACATGGAAACATAACAAGGTTACATTTTTAAGCAAAAGAGAAAAGAAAAGTTCAGAACAGAGGACATATTGTGTGAGAAAGAAAAGAATTTTTTTTTATCACATTAGCTTGTATATAC